TTTGGGCCCCCTAAGGAAGCGCGCCCGAAGTTACAGGGAGGCCGCCCCTAAAGCAGGCAGGTGGGCACAGGAGCCACAGCACGGAAAGGGAGCAGGCCGCTGGGGGCCCGTGCTCGCTCGCGCGCCGGCTCGGCAGCCGGCCGCCAGGGCCCTCGGCATCGCTCGGACGTGTGCATTTTCCCTGCGGCGCGGACCATCGAGGAGCAAGCATCCTTGACAAAAAAATCTCGACGGAAGGTTTGTCCTTTTTTGACATGTTTAACTTCGATTTCTCGAAAGTTGATCCATTGGCGAAAAAACCACGCGCAAAACCGAAAACAAACACAGGGAAGGGACGTCCGAGCGATGGCCCGTGGGCCTGCGTTCGCGAGCGCGCTGGCAGAGGGGGCCGCGGGGGCCAACAGGCAAGGCAGGGCAGGCGGGCGCACGGTGAGCCACAACAAGGAAGGAACCAGGGCGTCGGGGCCCGTCTTCGCCTACAGTCGGGGCGTTGACCTAAGGAACCCTAAATAAGGAACGAGGCCCCTATCTTCCATAAGCTGAACTTCGATTTCGCATCGAAAGCCTAAGGAACATCCAAGGCAAGCTGCGAAACGATCAAGGATCACGGAGCCCCTCCCCAACGAAAAGGGTTCCTTCTTCAGGGCCCCGACTGTATGCGCTGACCAGGCGGGCTGGGAGTCCAAAGTGGGCAGGTGCGCTCGGGAGCCACGAAGAGCAACAGCACCAGCCGCTGGACCTCGTTTTCGCAGCGCTCCTGACCCGCGAGAGGGGGCGCTGGGTGTGAGCGTCCTAGGTACCAGGCCAGTCACGCGATGTGCGCTGCCAGCGAGCGGGCACTCTTGGAGTGAGCTTCCTTGCAACTGGGGGACATGCGATGTGTGCTTCAAGTGAGCGGGCACTTTCGGAGGTAGTTTCCCACCCCGCATCCTGGCTACGCTTTCAGTGAACCTCCTGGCAAGCTTCTTGGCAACACCGCTGGCGTCGCGCTGTGCGCCGCAAGCGAGCGGGCACGCTTGGAGTGTGCCACCTGGCAATTTTCTTAGCAACACCGCTGGCGACGCGTTGTGCGCCACAAGCGATAGGGCACGCTTGGAGTGAGCCACATGGCAAATTGCTTGGCAGCAATTCTGGCGATGCGATGCGAGCCGCAAGCGAGCGGGCACGATTGGAGCGAGCTTCCACGAATCAACGGTGGCCACGCGGTGATTGCCAGGAGCTGGCAGGAACGCTTCGAGTGAGCATCATGGCGGCTAGGCTGCTTACGCGATGGGCCTCGCCAGCGAGCGGTCACGCATATGTCATCCACAGGAGGCTCTCAGGAGGGACACCGCCCCCGCGCTTCTGCACGTGAGGTTCTGGAGCAAGCAGACAAAACCTTCTAGGAAAGCCTGGCTAGCTAGGCGAAAAGTGTGAGGAGGAAAAGGAGGAGGGCGATGATAAGTGAGAGGAGGATAAGCAGGAGAGCCAGCGCGAGGAGGTGGAGGAGAGGAGAGCTCTGGAAGCGCTTGGATCCGAGAGATCCGCGATCTGTCCGGTCCGATTTTGCCCCAGTCCTGGCTTCGTTTTGGGCGGTGGCGCGGCTACGCGTCAGAGTGACCCCTCGCAGGAGTGACCCCTGATGCGGGCCCACATCAGACGGGGCCAGGACAATGATAAATCCGTTCCGGAACGCCCTTAGAGCGTTCGGGATCGCCCTGAGGAGGCCGCGCAGCCCGAGACATCCTCCAGAGCCGCTGGATCTCAGACTGACAGACAGACAGACGCCATGCACAACATAGGTGCGTTGGCAGAAGTTGTGAGACATACTAGACAATTGGGTGAAACGGCAAGCGGGCTAAGCATAGGAGGAGGAGGAGGAGGAGGAGGAGGAGGAGGAGGACCCTGACCGATTATCCTGACCCGAATCTATCCTCGTCGGGCTTCGTCTTACCACATGGGGCCCGAGGACTCCTTCCGTGCGGCCGAGCGGCCGAGCGGCGGCGGCGGCGGCGGCGGTTGCACGGCCGTCTCGGGCGGGGGGGGGGGCGCAGTTGCCCTGCAGCGGTTCCTCAAGGGCGGCCCCATGGCGCTCTCTGCCTGGTCAGGCCAGCGCCCCCGTCGGTCCGAGAAGGGGGGGGGCGGGCTGCCACGGGGAGGGAGGAGGAGGAGGAGGAGGAGGAGGACGTAAGGAGGAAGACGAGAACGAGGACGAGGAGGAAGACGAGGACGAGGACGAGGACGAGGACGAGGACGAGAAGGGAAAGCAGGAGGAGGAGGAGGCGGAGGAGGAAGACGGGATGGCCAGGGGGGGACAGAGGACGCAGGATCCCGCGCGTCGTGCCAAAGAACACGACGGACTGTGTCTGACAATGTTCGGCCTCGGGGGGCCTTCCCGGGGCCCCGGGGCCGTCGAAGAACGGCTCGGGGTGGCCGACGCTGTGGGCGAATCCAGACATCGGGGGCCCGGGGACGGTGGAGGAGGGACGGAGGAGGGAGTCGAGGGAGCGCAAGCATGGATCGAGGCGCGTGGATTGGCGGCGGGTCCCGCTTCCGTGCAGGATCGCCGCGCCTCGTCGCCAAAAGCGGGCGACGCTGGCCTCGTGTTTCGAGGGGTGCGTTCCCCGAGCCACGGATCCGTCGTCAGTGTTACAGTCGGGGCCCTGAAGAAGGAACCCTTTTGGTTGGGGAGGGGCTCCGCGTTCCTTAAGAGTTTCGCAGCTTGCCTCAGGTTTTCCTTATGTCTTCGATAGGAAATCGAAGTTTAACTTATGGAAAAAAGGGGCCTCGTTCCTTATTTAGAGTTCCTTAGGTCAACGCCCCGACTGTAGCGCGCGCCCGAGAGGGACGGAGCAGGATGAACCCAGGCATCCAGAGGCTCGAACAAGATCAAGAACAGCGCTGCTTGTTACTCATGTCTGGCGTTTGGACTGAAGTTCTGGTTCCTGGGGCCATCCAAAACTCAACTGGCGAACAAGTCATGGGGGAGAGTCGAGAAGCTGTGGCACCCATGTTTGAAACCACGGGACGCTGGATGTCTAGGGAGGGGGAAGGACGAGGGGAGGAGGAAGGAGAGGCAGGACGGAGAAAGGAGAGGGGAAGAGGGAGGTGGGGGACTCCAGCTGTGCAGAGGCAGTCCATCAGAGTTCGTGTCACGTGTTAGGTGCTGCAGCGTATCATTGACCAAGACTGACAACATGATCGATTGAGGCGATGGCTGAAATTCGGCAGTATGGGTTTACCCTTCTCGGCCCATGGAAGAAGAGAAGGAGAGAGTACCAGGAGGAGGAGGGATCGGGGGGCATAAGGAGGGAAGGAGAGAAGGAGACAGCAGGAAGGAAGGAAGGAGGGAAAGAGATGTGGCTCTGCATAATCGCGAGCACGGGAGAGACGGCGCACGATCTCATGTGCGAGGCGACGGTGCCGCATTGCGGGGGCGAGCGCCTGCCCAGGCGGCGCGCCCGAGGGGCTGGAAGGCAGAGGGGGCGGCCCGCCTCAGAAGGCTCAGAGGGCATCCGACAGAAGGCTCAGAGGGCATCCGACCTTTGAGCCCTGCTCCGAGGACACGAACGCCTTCTCGGAAGACCGGTGGCCTTCTGAAAAGCCCCGCCGCCTCCTGAGAAGGACGGCCCCATTTCACGTTCCCCGCCAGGAGCGCCGCCGACGGTCGAGCACCTGCTGAAGCCAAATATTCAATATGATTTTATGTGCGGTGTGGTCTGGTCGTTCGTAGGGGGGTCGATCTCCACAAGCACAAGCTGCAGGTGGTGGCTGACGAGGTGAGACATGGGGCGGCGGGGAGAGATGGCAACATCGAGCGAGAACACGCAAGCGTCTCGCTCAGCGGGGGCGCGAAACCAAAGGAAAGGAGGGGAGGTGGGAGGGATGGGCTCAGGGGAAGGGCTTGCCTGGCGGACGGGGAGGGGGGGCGAGTCAGCAAGAACAAGCCAGGGTGCATCTTTTTCAAACACGGCTATTGGTTCGCTTTCGAAGGTGTTCTGAAGTAAGGCGTTGGTTTCCCCTCTCTCCCACTCCTCCACTCATCCTCCTCTTCCTCTATACTGAACACGGCTATTGGTTCGCCTTCGAAGGTGTTCTGAAGGGGGGCGTTGGTTTCCCCTCTCTCCCACTCCTCCTCTCATCCTCCTCCTCCTCTTCCTCTATCCTGACCGTCCTTTCTCTTCTCCCCTTCCTTTGTCTGCTACTTGTCCGCATCTTACCCCTTCGCCACCCCCTCCTCTTTCTCCTTTTCCTCATCCTCCTACATGCCCCTGCCCCAGCTCATCACGCTCCGCCTTCCCCTCCTCCAGACAAAGTCACAAGCGCATGGGCGAAGGACCCAACCATCTGCAACTGCGAGTAGAGCAGACCATGTTCCTCTCATGCGAGGAACTTTTCCACTGAAGCATTCTGTGGAGCTCTCAGTGAGGCAACGAGACGTGTGCTGCGCGGGATATGCCGACACGGGCGGGGCGAAGCCATGCGGACATCCGCATTGGAGCCTTCGGTGGAACTTCCCATGCGGCCACGAGTCGTGCGGGGAGGGGGGCGGAATAGGCGGCGGGGACGCATGTGAACATGCCTTCGATGGAGCTCCCTTTGAGGCCACGAAACGTGTGAGGGCTGTGTCGAAATGGACGGCGTGGACGCCATACGAGCATGCCCACTTGGGCACGGGGTGAAGTCCCTTACTGGAGCCACGAAGCGTATGAGTGATGTGCCGAGATGGGGACGGTGGGGGCGCATGTGGGGCCCCTGGTGGAGCTCCCTACGATGCCACGAAGCGTGTGCGGGGTGTGCCGAGATGGGCGGCGGGGACGCATGTGAACATGTAAATTGGGGCCTTCGGGAGAGCTCCCTGCGGAGCCACGAGACGTGTGAGGGGTGTGCCGGAATGGGCGGCTGGGGCACATGTGACGTTGCCCATTGGGGCCTTCGGTGGATCTCCCCACAGGGCCACGGAACGTGTGCGGGTTGTGCGCAAATGGGCGGCGGGGACGCCTGTGAATTTGACCACTGGGGTTTTCGGTGGAGTTCCTTGTGGGGCCACGAAGCGTGTGAGAGGTGCGCCGAGATGGGTGGCGGGGACGCGTGTGAGCTTTCCCGCGGGGGAATTCGGTGGACCTATGTCATATGACAGGGAATCGGGTCCCCGGACCCTGGGCTGGCACACTATTTTCTTAACTCCCTCCCCCCAGTGTCGCCTTGGAGTCCAGGCGGAGTCCCGACTCTTTTCGGGGCGCTTCTGGGCCGGGCCCGTTGTTGGGGGGCCGCCAAACAGCCCCCAGAGCGATCAGACAGCCGCTCCGACGGCCCAAGCTGCCCCGAATTGCCCTGAAGAGGGCCTCCAGGGTCTCAGACGGCCGAAGAAGCTTTCCAAGCGGCCCAAGAGGCCCCTAAGGCGGTCCAAGAAGGCTCCAAGAGGACCCCGACGAGTACCTCGAGAGGCCAAAATGAATTGTTTCTTAGGTTTTTGAAGCATTCCCGCGTTCAAGCCTTTTCGAGCTTCCAACGCTCCAAGACGGCTCAAGAGGCGCCGCAGACCGCCCCGAGAGGCACAAGAGGCCCCCAAGAACCCCCTAATACGGCGTCAGATGCCTCCTTGAGAGTTCCAAAATGATTCGAGAGGCCCCCGGGACGGCCCAAGAGGCCCCCCAAGACGGCCCAGCAGGGGCCCCAGAGCGGCCCCAAGAGGGGCCCAAGAGGGGGAGCACGAACCCACAATTCCAGCCTTCCGCCCCCGCAGGCCCCCAGGAGGCCCTCAGAGGCCCCGAAGAGGTGCCACGAGGCCCCCACGAGGCCCCCAAAAGGCCCCAGAAGGCCCCCACTTGGCCCGAAAGAGGCCCCCAGACGCTTCCAACGAGGTACCAACGAACACCCCAGAGGCGGGCCAACGCGGCCGCAGAGATGCATCAGCCAGCGCCAAGCACTGATCGCAATCGCCGCCGCATAGGTTTTGCAAACGAAGTTGCGGGCGGGCGGGTGGGATGATTGCACGAGCAGTGTGGTTGACAATTCCAAGCCTGTTTAAAATTATTTGCAACGCACAGGTTGCACCGCATGGGCTTTCTTTTCTCAAGAAGAATTCGGATCGACCCCCCCTCCAGATTTGTCGGCCCACCCTGAGGATGCGCAATGTGCATATGACTCAGCCCATCGCTCATTCGAACTACGAGTTCACATCGTCCCAGCCAAACCCCGTTCGACCCCCCTCCCCCCCAACCTCGTCAAATAATTCTGTCCACGCACACTCGTCTACCACAAATCATCCATGTGCAAGAATCCCTTGCAGGATTTCGTAAGGAATTCAAAATCGAGTGTTCCGAAACACGTAACAGAGAACAGTGGTGTTGCAACATGTTGTTCAAACAATTGAATTCTTAAGAAGCCCATGAGTTGTTCAAAATGCTCGTAGCATGTTACCAAACGAACCTCTCGCGCGCGCGTGTCGGAGTCATTCGAACGTTTTTACGCGCGTGTTCGGGGGGCACGATCCCTGTCAAATAGTACCGTGCTGGCCATCCGCGCGCGTCGGCCACGCGCGCATGTCGAAATCCGCCTAAAACCTTCATCACCGACACGTGGACATCATCATCGTCATCGGCGTGATCAGCATCGGCGCCGGCACTGGCCTTGCCATCGTCATCGTCATCGCGGCCACCAGCATCGCTAGTATCATCATCCCGTCTGCCGTTGTCGCCATTATACCGCGCCCGCCCGCGTCACCGTCTCGCACTGAAGTGCCTGCGCGTTACCGCGGCCGGAGAGCCGCCCTGGGAAGTGCCCAGCGGTCATCGCCACAGCGGCCGCGTCGGCCGCGCCAGACCAGCTGGCCGGTCTGCGCGAAAGCCTGCGCCCACGAGCGCGGCCGCAGCGATGCGCCAACAAGCGCCAAGCAGTCAAGGCAATTGCCGCCACATGGGTCGCACAAACCACATTCGGCAGGGTGAGCTGCACCACATGAGTTGTACCACGTAGACCGCACCGCATGGTATGCTAGTACAGACTGTTTGGGGCCCGCGCTGGCTAACATCATAGATAAATACAACTCGGTGGTTCTAACTAGAACATTAGAGCCGAGAATATGTGGGGTGGTCCTCCGTCAAAGTTCCCTTTTTCCTCATCCATCCCCCTCCTCCCACTCATCCTCATCATCTTACTTCTCATCATAATCACCCTCGTGATTATCATCGCCCTAAAATTAATTATCTGCATCGTAACCATCACCAACAACAATATCAACAACAACGTCCCCACCCTCCCGGCTCTCGGCTCCACCCCCTCCCCCTCCTTCTCAGCCTGCTCCTTCTATTCCTCCTCCTGCTCCTCCTCTCGTTGTTCCTTCTCCTCCCTCGCCTCTTGCGCATTTTATACCGGCGACGTTTGCTTGTTCGAACAGATTCTGCTCCTCACCTGCGCAGGCGCTTGGCGCGCCTACTCTCCTCGGTAGCGCCGTGCCGCGCCCACGCAGAACGCGCACGCTCCCGACGATCCCGCGGCTCGTCCGCCTAGGCGCACAGA